CACAAGACATCTTCGTTCAACGAAACATTCTTTTGATAATGTTTCTTTCCAAATCATAGAAGTCAACACCGAGTGGGACACCACGGCGAGAAGGAGAAGAGAAAATTTTTGGATCCACCAACTCCACACTTTAGAACCTGATGGTCTTAACGAAAATGATGAGAAAAGATACAGGAAAGATAAAGAATAATTTAGTACACAGCATCGTCCTTTTTATCCTGTAATATTGGCCAATGGACGTTGCTAACTTCAACTACCAATTTTGTAAAAATCTTGAACTTCATCCAAATTATGTATTATTTTCAAGGCAGCTAAATTCAAGTGCAACATATACATTGAGCTGCAAAAGTTTCTTATCATCTACATCCGATTTCACCTGGATAGATGCACGCTTGATAAAGCTAGTTAGTCTAGCGAAATATTGCGTTTATTTTCATCATTTTGTAAATATTTTAAACTTTCTTATATTTACATACTAAATAGTGTGTTAAAATTACATTGTTAGGCAATCTATATATATATATATATATATATATATATATATATATATATATATTATTAATTATACAGTAATTTTTAAGATATATTACATTAAAATAATGATTAAATAACTATATTCCATACCAGATGGTGTTTGAAAATAAATAAAATAGAATATTAACCCTCTCTAATACATAAAAAAATAAACTACATCACTACTACATGTATATTTAGTTAGTTACTGGAATGCAAATTTTCTCTTATTTCAAAACAAGTACTTATAAATCTTGACACTGACATATTAACATTTTCAGACTCACATGACATTAACCAAATAAATCGTTCATACTTTGATATATAAAGGAAGTTTTTACATTGAATGCATGCTTCATTACGAATAAAATTCCGTTCCTTTTCATATGCAGTGCATTGCATTAAAAATGAAACTCGTCTTCAACCTGCATATTTTGCACTGTCCACAAAATCTTTTATCTTTATCGATTTTTTTTATATCTACCTTTCTCAATAGCTAACTGATGAGCACTGATTCTAAATAGAGTTAAGCTTTTTCGATACTGAAATTTATTAACTTGACATAAATATGCTTCCCTTTTGAAGTATTTTTAAATTTAAAATAAGTACGCAATTTTCCTTTTTTAACATTTGCATTGTCTTTTATAGTATTTTACCAGTAAATCCTATATCTACTAATCAAAATGTTTTTAACCTTTTCAATGTCAAAACTTTCCATATCAACATCAATACATCTTATAATATATACAATATTAGAATATTAAGATGACATTTGTGAGTGTCAATACTTGTGAATAGGGCTTGTTTTAACAAATGATCCTTTTGTAAACCATTAATTATTTGTAAAAATTTAAGAATAGAACAAATAATTTCAATATGCAATGGAGTACGACCTAACTCTCCCATTACAGCTAAATTACATGACTTTTTATTTACCCCGATAATGTATCTGTAAAACTTTAAACTTAAGTTCTCGCAGTCAAATTTACTAAATTTTTTCTCAATTTCAAAGGGGCTGTTTGTTTGACATTTTGAAAAATTAAAAGTACAAGTTCCCCAAATTTCTGAGCCATATGTTAAGATTGGCTTTATTGTATGGTCAAAGATATGTAAACAACTATCAATTTATGGGATGTTTTCACCGAAAGAACTTTTTAACTTGAAAAAAGCTTTTAATCCCCTTTGATACAAATCATATCTAGCCGTAGAAAAACTTCCAGAAGCAGAAACAATAACACCTAGATATTTATAATTTCTAACATTCTCAATTGGTTCACCATTAAAATAAAAGTTACTTTTAATCATTTTACCACCTTTGTTAAAAATTACAATTTTTGTTTTCTTAAGATTAACCTGAATACACCAACTTTTACAATATTCTTCTAATTTTTTTAAACATCTACTCAAACCTGTTTGACTAGTAGAAAGAAGCACAACATCATCGGCATACATTAAACAATTAAGTTTTGTACTTCCTATTTCAGCTGGTACACATTATTCATAAAAAATACACGGCAAATCATTGACAAATTTCTTGAAAAGATTGGGACTTAGATTATCCCCATGTCTATCATCCATATGTTATTTGATGATGGGCTTCTTAAAACCTTGACTGCTTGCCTGATATCTCTGGCTAAATCCTATGATGCAAATATATCAGACCTATTCTAATGTGCACGATACATATTTCTGCTTCATAATATACGTATGGGACTACAATTTAGGAAGACATAAAATTTTCAAGAGCATCAAAACGAAAATGAGCCTAAACAAAACAGACAAATTCATCCAAAGTCACATTTGTTTGAGACAGCCGAAACCTTCTTTCATGGCTGCGTTGTACAATGTGTATCCACATTGAAGTTGGGGCACCTCTTATTATGAAATTGATGGCAGATTTTGTCCCCAAGTTCTACAGAATTGAAACTTTAGCCAATTTTAATTTACATTTTATATTTCCTTATATTTAAATTTCTCTACAGACCATTCTCCCTTAGAAACATGTTTTTCATTCATTTTAGAACAACTACCTAATTTAAAAATGGAAAATGTAAATAAGAGTTTGTCATATGAAAATAAGAAGATAGTCTGTATTTTGTTTTTGGAATATCTTCATATCTGTGTTTTTCAAAGCACATACATTAATATATTCGTTAATGACATCTATCAAAGAATTTCGCTTAAATCGGTGCTAGTGTGCGTGTTGAACTCGCACTGAGAATTAAGCTCCTTTACGGTCGATCGCCATAGCGAATAGGTTGACCGATACGATATATCTGTGTTTCAACTCACTAGCGACATGTTTTTGCGGTCTTGGATCTTCAGATAATAGAACGGTCGTCTGATCTGTAAATTTACCAAATTGTGTCCTGTTTCCAATTGTGACATTTTGACTAAGTGTCGATTCGTATGGCGGGTGATGTATATGTTGTGTACAAATTGTAATGTTGTTCAAATTATAATTTGTACAGAATGTTTGTACACGTTATCAGTGTTTTATGAACCGCTTAACACAAATGGATGATACAAGCACACAGTCTTTTGTTTCGCTTATTTCTGTCATATTTCTATGACTACATGATACAGTCTAATACTGAGCATTGATACAAAAAAAACATTATAAGAACACAAATAGACTTTTTATGGATATGATTTTGGTATAAGGAGAAAAATAGAATTTAAACGATTCAGGTGTCCTTATTTCCAGTTTAAAGACAGGGAGAATAGCACTAAATGTTAGGTTGAAGTATATAAATTTGAATTTAAGACATTAAGCTGATTAATTTTAGAAGATAAACTTTTACCATCTGATGCAAAAAGGTATGTACCAAAAAACTTATAACTTGTTCAAAAACCCTGTACAAATTATAATTTGTACAAACTTTCATCTTGTACACAACATATACATAAAAAGAGATGAGTGTCCTGTCGACGCACTCGGTCTCGCTCCTTTTGAAGTTCATAGATTCCCCCCAGTGTTCCGGTTTTTTTTTTACCTTGCTTTGTTCTTCCTAATGGATTTATGGTTTTGAACACCTGTAAACTACTGTTGCCTTTAATTTACAATAAAAATAAAAAACATTGTAAAATTTTCTGTAACTTTTATCATTTTGTACGATTATTTAAACGACAAATTAAATATATAGTGAATAGTACTTGCACAAGGTCGACACATTAACGTTATCATAGTTTATGTTTTAGCTTTTGAAACATTGTTAAAAAGATATATGTCTTTGCGGTCTTAGATCTTTAAATAACAGAATATTCGTTTGGTCTATAAATGTACCAAAAAGAGAAACGCTTGTCCTGTCGACACACCTGGTCTCGCTCCTTTTAGAGTTTATGAGATTCCTCCAGTTTTTGTTTTTTAAGCTTAATTTATTCCTTCTAAATAAATTTATGGTTTTGAAAACTGGTAAACTACTGTTACCACTTGTTTACAATACTAATAATAAATACTATATTTTCTTCTGTAACTTTTGTCATTTTTACGATTATCTAAACCACAAAAGAAACATTATCGTTAACAGCTATGTTTTAGCATTTACAATTATTATTAAGATATATAATGCATTGCGTGATATAAACGGTCAAGCCGATATAACTTCGAGTCTCTCAGCAACCATAATTTGATCCAATGCGATGTGATTCAAGCAACCGAGATCTGTTCCGGGAATTGAACCATCGTATTTTATTTAAATCATTATCTCACTTATTAGACCAAAAATTACTATGTTAAAGATTAATATTTATGTTCACTATCAGCTTAATACACTTCATAAATTTTGATTGGATAGTGTAAGGAAACATATTTCATCAATTCGTTTCCCTATCGTTTAGTTACGTTTGTAAAAAAAAACAAAGTTAACGTTTAAATGTTTGTCATCGATTTGATTTCAAGTTCAGGTACATGTAATTCGTAATTCTGAATCCATCTCAATCACGATTTAATTGTTTTTATGAATGGAATTAATTTTTTGAAACCTAGGTCAATGGGGTTCAACAGCCGAGATATTATATTGACTGAGGTGGTAAACACATACTAATCAAGAATATTGATTTGCTTTAAAAACTTAACGTAGATTTTAATGTTTCACATCAATTTTTCACGACATCAATAACCACACGCAACGTATTGTGTAACAAACCAAACGGCCCAATACTTACAACAATATTGTTTTTTTTCACATGTCACAGGTTAAACAAAAGTCTTCGTTGATATTAAGCAGTAACATTTTCGATGCATGATCTTAAAATATCAATGTCTTTGCACTTTGATTAAATCTATACTTTTAACAACTAATGGTGAATTAAAGTATAATTACCTGTCAAATTTCTTCTCCGCGACTTTAATTCTAATGAATAAGTATTATTATTGATCGAGGTTATTGCATACATTAACTTTCTTTTCATTCATAGTCTGTATAGATTTCATAACCGTAATTTTCACAATTAAATGTTTTAACGAATAAGACATGTAATCTTTAAATGCGCCTGCGTGGTTATATTGAATGTATAGAGTTCAGATCCGGAGCACAGGAAATCGGTTGTAATACAAACAATACAAACGAAATGGTCTAGTCTACAAAGCTGGGAGACAAAACAGTCCAATTGAAATTTAGGTAAGGAATTAAAATCTATACTGCGAAAATGTTTTATTTGTTTAGATTTAAACGTTTTAAGTATTAGTAATTTTTTCACTTCAGTTTTCATTTTTACATGTCAGTTAGATAGATAAATCACAATTAATGTTAACAAGTAAATTAAATCATAGCACATCTTAATAAAATTTAACCACATCTGATTTTTTAATCTATTAAAAAGGATTAAAGAAAGGGGAGATGGAAGGCCTTAAGGGTAAAAATCGTATTCCTATTTATAGTGTTCGCTACCTAACATCAGTTTGCCACAACAAAATGAAAGTTTGCAAGACATGCATTTCAGAAGACTGCAGCATGTACCCGTCAGATGCTGTAACCGTGTCAATTCAAACTGAAAAAGGTCTAGAACAAAAATAAAGAAAGAAGTTTGTTAAATAATCAGGAAAGCTCAGTCAGAGTTTTTGGAATGTATTTTTTACATTACATTTTCCCCGTTTTTTTATTCCAGGCTATTAGAAGTAGGAATTTTCTAAATATTCAACTGAAATGTAATTTTATTTTAGTTTTATCGACACGTAATTTAAAAAAAAATCAATAATCTGTCAATATTTAACTATTTTCCAATTGAAAGTGATCTTTTTTGTTATTTTGTCTTCAAAGCTACCTGAAGATTGTTTTTATTGTGACAATATAAATAAAAAATGTTAATAATTTGTTCGTTTAAACAAAGATATATGTATATATAAATGAAAACGTTAGAACAAAGATACTTATAGTTAGTAATACTAACAAAGATACTTATAGTTAATTTTAGTTTCTTGTGTACAATTTGGAGTTTAGTATGGCGTTCATTATCACTGAACTAGTATATATATTTGTTTAGGGGCCAGCTGAAGGACGCCTCCGGGTGCGGGAATTTCTCGCTGCATTGAAGACCTGTTGGTGACCTTCTGCTGTTGTCTGTTCTATGGTCGGGTTGTTGTCTCTTTGACACATTCCCCATTTCCATTCTCAATTTTATTATATTTTATTTTCTACTTATCTGATTTTTGTGGGTTTTTTATGAATATATATATATTATATGACTCACTGTAAGGGATTATTAAGAGATAATATTGTATTGGACAAGTGAATTTAATCAACTTGGGAAATTATGTGTCAAAAAGGTTATGAAAGCCTATAAAATCCATGTCATTCAATACATATTGGCTTCTTGACTATCCTACTTTTTGTATATAATTTTACAACTAATTGCACATAACATTTATTATAAATTTGTATCACGGAAAGGGTTCTTCGACATTTGAAAAACATAAAATGAAAACATGCACAATTATTAGACAGATTATAATGCATCTAGCATATGCCAAGTGATAAAAAAGAAGCGATAATATATATGCATTTATCATTCTTTAACACAATGTAACCCGATTAAAGAGTTTTAAGCCATGGCCATCACTTTGTGAGTATCTTTTTTTATCTTCTCATAAATATTGTTATGAACCAATCTTACATGCACATGAACCTTGGGACATTTACGTCGGGTCATCTCCCGGCCGGTCGTAAACAAATGTGATCGTCTCTTAGGTGACACAAAGGAAACATACTCGAATAAGAATCCTGGAAAAAATTATACTCATCTCTCAAATTAAACAGCCAATTTAGGGTAATTTAGAACTAATATTTCTGCCAGTATCAACTTCATAAAGCTAATTCGCCAGTAGACTTTACTGAGGAAAATGTTTTGAAGTGGAGTTACGAATAGACTCATTTGACCGCAAATTTTGATGAAATTGTTAAAGCTTGCAAAGTATATCTAGTATTATTGTGTATTATTATTATCTCATGAAAAAAACTCTCAAAAAGTAATGGGACCGATGATACATGTAGGATTTCACAACCGGCTCCTTTGTAATTAATAATTCAAAATTTTTTTTTAAATATATAAAACATTTTTAAACACTGTTTTATTTTAAACTAAAATGCTGGTTTCAGAAGTGATTCTAATAACTAATTCAACTTGCATTTTGGTAAATTTTGCATATTTTCCAAAGACCAGTTCTGAATTATCATTGGAATGACATCAATACAAAAATCCTGTGAACCAACAAAATGGTCGTCGTTAATATAAATTGAACGTCTCAGGCTAATAGAAGTTGATTTTTTTCTTTAGAAAATACTCGATTTTGTTGACTCCATGCTGTGTTTTATTTACCCGAGCCTGCAGTGTCTTTCGGTTACTTCGAACAATGTCTTTTCTTGACTTAGGTTATTGTCTTTTATTTACTCTTGACACTGATTGTGAAACGGTTTTTACATGGTTGACATCGATATTGAACTCAATGACTTGAAATACCGTCCCGACTTAACCTCATATAATTGTATATTTATTAATATAACCATTAGTAAAATAATTAGCTCCACAACCAGGGTCATAAATTCTTTATTCTTGGCTGATGTAAATAAGAAATCTTATAAACTTATTGATACTCATGAATCTACTGCGTTGTGAGAAATTCAATCCGATCAGACCATCCGTTGGTAATCGATTTGATTCATGTTCAAGTCATAAAACTCTCCGTAATAATTTTAATTATTGATATTTGTACTTTGTCATTACAAAAGTTAAATGTCTCCAGACATTCTTTGTGCCGACTATTTGTTGCACTTTATTAATATTTATTTTTTATATCGAAACATAAAAATCTGTCAATTAAATTAAACACTCTGCTTTTAAAAATAAGACACAGTAAAATTATGATGTATTAATTATGAATTATTCATTTCAGATGTTTTTTTAACAATTATATTAATTTCTAATCGAAGTTAAGGTTAATGAAAAACACTTTAGAGAAAAGAGCAACGAAAAGTTTTATGCATCAATATAGCCTATTGAGTGAATTTTTGAACTCGTACATGTAACACCAATAAATTAAGAGCATAAGACTGCCCCGTAATATATATCAGTTTCTGGAAAGTGCCACTGAACATTTTCCAAAATTGGCCTGTTTGCTTCAAATTTAAAATACACTACAATCTGTATGATGATGGATGGGTGCTTAACGTCGAGCGGCAAATTAAATTCATATTCAGGACGAGAACATGTTAATGTAATATGAATATTAAGCCCGCTTTGTACTATACCGACACACTGAGCCGGGTTTTAACGTGCTAGTTCACAAAGTAACATTCCACAGGAAGACATGTCAACCCACCTGACACATTCTGACTCCAAGTAGACCAGTATTTGCTCTTACTCCTCAATGCCGCGTGCTTAGCGGAGAAGCAGCAAATAAAAATTTTAATGTCTTTGGTTTTGACCGGCCGTGGTTCGAACCTACAAACTAGTAGATTATTACATGTATTTAAATTTTAATCATTGGAGGAAAAAGTCTCATTATCAATCTTTTTCAGAAAATATATGATGTAACAGCTTCTTGTCCAAGAAGACCTCCACCGGGGAACCGGTTTCCTTATAAAGATTTGAGGGAAAATTAAAAACATTTGAAAAATTCTTCTCCTCTGAAACTATAGGGCAGGGCGGGAAAACCCTCTGCAAACGATCCTTATTTGATGGTGGTTAATTGGTGGCATTGGCGGCATAGTTTTGATTGAAACGTTTTGGGAATCATGTCAACATCTTCTTGTCTGAACTGTAAAATCAGAAATTTCACAAGAATGATAATGTTAGGTCGTCTACAAAATGAATCCATTTGGTTCCGATCGGATGCCGTAGATCTGTATTTTTTCTTGATTATGTAACTGACCACGTTTAAAATCATTTATCTTAACCTCTCATAGCTTTGAAAGTTACTGCATTTTCTTGCGTTAGGGTTCTTGAAATATTCTGAATAAGCCTTGAATAGGAAACTACAAATCGATGAACATATTAAATAACACACGTTCAAAAGTAATTTCAATCATTTAAATTCAAAGGTGTCTGTTTAAGGATAAATTATTAAAGGGCCGTTTATTATTGCCGATCAAAGTATATTGTAAACTGAGTGTTTTCTATAAACACAAAATTTATTAATTTTCTTACACGTTTTTAGTTTCTTACGGTCTAGAAAGTAAACTTATCTTTGAATCAGTATGCTAACACAATTTTGACCTATACAATTTATATTTGTATTATTAATTGTATTCAGTTATGGTACATGATGAACCGTTTATTACAATGATCCGATGAGATGACAAGCCTTTTTTTATTATTCTATTTTACATAATAAATTTTAGACCAGCGTTTTGTATGCAGGATCGGTTTATAATTTTTCAGATTATTTTTGTAGCATTTTTGATTTCCTTTTATTGAAAAAAAAAACTGTTCATAAAATATACACACAATTTAGTTACGTAATGATGTGTAAAACGTATTTCTGATTTGACTTATTTGACCTGACCATTGTCATTGACTATTTATTTCCAACTATGTTTGATTAATAAAGGAAAATCGAAGAGAGTCACTGTGCCTATTATTCTCCTTGAATCTTGGCATGTCAGATTGAGTTGTTACAGTGCAGATTTGACAGCTGGTTTTTTCTTGATAATTCCAGTCATATTAGTACTCCATTAAATGTTTTGAACAGGTTATTAAACTGTATCTCGAAGAAGAGGCCTAACTTAATATATGATAACACACACAAACACGTATTCTTCGGTCATATTATCTCATCCACTTAGTATTGGATTTTTTTTATCGGTTTTTAATTGTTGAAATTGATTTTTTTTAAGATTACAACTAAATTTGACACTCATAAATAGTCGATCTATTCTATTTGTTTATTGTTCTTATGAACAGAAGTAAAAAGATTGAAAATCAGATAAAAGTCAGGGGATTGTCACTTTTAACAGTTCAACCTTTTAATGTTATATGATCCGAAAGAAGAAAAGGTTATATGGACAATTGAGACGTGTTCCGTACTTTTGCTTATTGTGAACTTTTGGGAAAAGAATTAGACTTACCATTTCTCAATACTTGGATACCTGCCCATCAGTACACATGTATAGACTATAGGTAAGAT